GGGAGAGAGAGAGAGAGAGGTCTATAGTTAGACATAACCCTTTCACACCTAGATAAGGGAAGGAGGACACGATATTTCTCCAAACGTTTCTGCGTGGATATTATCAAAAGAAAGAAGACATTTGACTTGAAGACTCACTTGAGCCCAGGTCTTAAGAAGGCAGAGAGCGGAAAATGTCTATACACATGTCTAGGTATAAGGGTGTCTTGAATCCCTTTGATGCTGATATTTTTCCACTTCTTTTGTATTTTCTTCTAAATATATGGAATATGCTTCAGGGCCTGAATCAGGGGTGATCAAATTGTTTACTGATTAGATGTAAACAGAGATTGAAAATTCTGAATCTCCTCCAAAACCCATTCATATATGAGGGAAACGCTTTTTTCACACAATATGGATTAAAAGAATGAATTTGTTCCCTTTGTGTGTTGGTTTTCTCTGGTTCCTTTCATGTATTTGGAGTTGAGTCATAATCATATCTACTAACACATTAGGGGCAAACAATATGTACAATGTATGCATTTATTTATTTTAGCTGGTCACCGATTCAGACTTTAAGCTACTACTTGGAGCATCTATGCAAGGTGGTACTTAACCCTCGAAGCATCACCTAGTGCTTTCGATAACACTAATCCCCAGTGCATCCTTACAGACTGCACTTGGTGAAAGCAACATGATTAGATACCACTTTCTTATTTCTTAAATGAAGGCCCTTTGCAACCATGAAGTTCCATTGGAATCACACATAATTTTCAGTTCTAGCTGATATAAATACCATCCTATGCCTATATTGGCGAGATGGGTGTAGTGTTGCAGCTTTCTTTGTCATAGAAAAAGCTCCTTATATAATCCTTGGGATGCATTTGTAATTAAACATTTGGTATCAATTTGGCATTATAGCAGTTGACTAAGCTCGGAATCTTCTTACATCATATTGTATACCTAGTGACATCAAGTAGCCCTCTTACCATTTGGAAGTTGAACGAGGTCCCTTTTTTTTGTTAGTGATGAATAAGTTCTCTTTATGATTTGGTGAGCCAATCTTGTTTATAGTCTATTGCATCAAGATTGGGAAGCGACAACCTTGGAATGAGAAGACTCTCATGGTGGTTGGAAAATGAGTCATTTATGCTGAGCATACATGTGATTTCTACAGGACATTGCAAAGTGCAAATGGTGGTTGACAACTAAATCAGTTATACTAAATCCACTGGTGATTCATATGGGTCATTCCTAAGTGGAAACAGAAGTTTGCATCCTATCCAGCCTAATACAAACCTAGAGATTTGTAGGAGAGTGTATTGATAAATTTGGAAGGGAGTAGCAACCAGATGCACTCAATTAAATGATATGAAGGTTGCAGACCGGATCGGCAGCCGCCAAACAATTGACCATCGCGAGGAGCTCGGAAGCTATCAGCCCCACCTCGAGCCCCTGCATTTGTCTGTTTGTCCATTCTGGATAAGGTGTGCTCATGGTTGGTCCCCTGCAGCATAGAAGTTTCCAAATTCCAAGTTGGTGTGTTATGTGAGTAGAGTGTCGATAACCTGCTTATACATTTTGAGGTAGCTCAAGAGATCTGGACATTCAATATCTTTGGGTTCTCATGGGTGTGCCCTTCCTCAGTGGAGGCCCTATTTCAGCTATGGGACCTTGTGAAAGAGAGGACTTGCGGCAATATTATGATCTCTTTAGAACAAAAGAAACCATCAAATGTTCAAGGAACTGCTAAGGAAGCAATGAAGATAAAACAAAGACGCAAATCATGGGGAAGGGTATAGGCATTCCGTGAAAGGTGGTTAGAAGATTCCCTGGGGTGGATTTAGAGGGACAATGGCATTCATTGCTTGGAGCACTGAAATATACTCAAACATCACACTGGCAGCCCTCCCAATAATGGAGCTATTAAGCTGAATTACATAAGAGGTTCAAAGGATAATCCAGGCCCTGTGGGGGTGGGAGGAGTATTCCATAAAAGAATGGGTGACAAAGTCGCCACAAACTCAGGCTAGCAAGAGTATGTGATCCAAATGAAAACTGAAGTAAGGGCCCTTTTAGGCATTCGATTACTGTCAAATGATTGAATTCCAGAAGTAATCAAGGAAGATGTAGAAGATTTAATTGCTGGAAGAAACTACGCTTGGCATTTTGCGCCAACTTATTATGAATTTTTTACAAGATGTATAGGCTGTAACATTGCATTTGTGCATACTTGGCTGGAGTCCAATTTTGTGGTGGATTCTTCAGCCAGAGAGGTGGCCATAGATAAGATATGTTGCTACAAAGTGAACCCTCTTAATGAGCTGATTTCAACCAATTTGTTATAATCAATAATCTAGAAGGCGGAGGCAGCTGGGCAGCTGCCTAGGCTGGTGGGGGGGGGGGGCACTCTCTCCTTTTTATGGTTTCGATATTAATGGCAGGCAATGTGGCACAATCATTTTTAGCCATTAGATGTTAAATACAATAGATTGAAATGTGTCACAACATTCGAGAAATTTTATTTTGGACTTTGTGCCCAATTAATTTTTGTTTTACGACACATCCTCAACCACCCAATTTTAGATCCAATGGTCGATAATGACTCTGACCTCCTTGTCTACAGTTTCATATTAATATCATGGCTTTGTGCATGTGTTAATGTGTAAATGTGCCACGTGTGAATTTGCCACGTGCTTTTTTAAAAACCTTACCCTCTTTGTCTTCCAAAAAAGAAAGGTATTTTATTTAATAAAACCAAAATGGTATTTTACTTTTTTAAGAACTTTGCCAGGTACTTTACTTTTTTAAAGAACAAAATTAAAGGAAAGATACTTTTATTGAAAAATGATACCTTTTGTCTTTAAAATAATTGAGTAGAAGTACAAGCAATAAAAAATTTCTCTCCATAGACCTAATTCTCTCTCACTAAATAAAATAAAAAATTAAGGAGTTGGCACCAGGCAGGTGCTCAGACTCTACTAGGCGGCTGTAATGCCTTGGGCGCCTAGGCAGGTGCTTTAAACAAGTCCGCTTGGACCCCGCCTTGGCAGTTGCCTAGGTAGTCGGGCGGTGGAATTTTTGTACATGGGTTCTAATAATTGCTGTCATCCGGCGGCCAAATTTTTGTACTAGGCTGTAATATTTGCTGTCACAATAATTCGTGAAAGCATACTTTCTATACACAAAATAGCAATTCTAAGAAAAAAAGAGGGTTCTCGACCTAAGAATGGGAAATAAATGTAATGCTCTTGTTATAAGTGACATGTTGGGAGTGAGGGATACAGGAAGGACCATAGCATCTTTTACCGATCAGAAGAAATAATTTGGTTGTCTTTTATGATTACGAGAAGTAGAATTTCTAGAGCAATAGTTATTGTAACCTACCATATCTCAATTTACTTGCCAACATCTCTGATCTAGTGGAAAAAACGTATGATGAATCCTTCCCAAAAATTACGATGAACATAGAATGCAATCTCTGTGTGTGTGTGCATGTGTGTGTGTGTGTGTGCACATGTGTATGGGAAGGAGGGAGCTATTTATTTGCTAATATCTGAACTAGAAGAAAAGACTTGGTAAGACTTAGGATGAAGATTTACGCTTCCCCCCAGAATATATGATGATATAGTTCTAACAACTTTCTTTTTTTTTCGTCTTGGGATTTGAGCTTGAACATTTGCTGCCCCTTCTACAGCAATAAAATTTTAAGAAACTTGTATTGTTAAATGAATTTAAATACACATGGTGCATTAAACAAGCAGTCACATTGATGGTCCTTTGGGGATATTTTCTTTCTTACTGCTCGTTTTTGTTAATAGGAGTTTAATTTTTCAGAAAATCTAATGATTTGGTTATGGTGAATTATGTGGTTATGTATTCATTATTGAGAAGAAACAAGATTGTCATATCTTCTTTTTTTATACTCCCTGAACGTTAACTTGGGACCTGGTGAGAAGGAAACTCTAGATGCCATGGTGCGGCACCTGCCACACTGACCACCTCTGCCTAGAACCCTTTATTAACAACATTGTAATATCATTCTCTAACATTTTAAATGGTCTGGCTTACTGTATATGATGGCGCAAGCGCTATATCTTGTAGAAACACTGTTTTATTCAGGAGTAGGAAATTTTGCATAGGAAATTTGGTGTACTTGGCCAATATCTTTTCTCTTCCATTGAAGCTCATCTGGTAAATGTTGGTTCTGTTTTTCTGTTTGAGATGAATTACTAGTATTTGAAACTCGAAATCAGAGACTTCGTTCAGAATTATCCCCTCAGACAGCATAGAATTATAATATAGGTCATATGTGTAATGTGCATGTAGCAACCTTTGCTTTGTTCTCCTAAATGATTCGTCTGCACGTGGTTTGGCAGGAAATTCTGATATTCATGAATCTACTCCTCGTCTAGAACAATCTTCCGTTTCTATCTCTTTTTTTCATGGGAGAAGTAAGGATGATTCGGTGCAACAGCTTGAAGGACCCGAACAGCCCTCTAAAAGATTTCTGGATACAACTCCAAAAAGAGTTCCTCGTTCCCATGGTTCTCATCTAGTGTCACCATCTCCTGAACCAGAATCAGCTTATGTCAAGGTATCATCTCGACGAAGGTCTGTAATTCTTTTGGGAAACAATCACAATTTTGGAATGCCTCAAATGCCTTATATTTTCTTTATATCTCTAGTCCACTACAGGTTTTGGTAACAAATGGGTCAGAAAGCATCACCTTTTTCTTTTTTTAACTTTTTTAACTACAAACTTCTTCTCAAGATTCTCAATCTCCAAAAACCAAGAGCTTTTGTGTCACTGTCATCTTCTAGTGGTATTGAAGATCTTTAATCCAAGGTTTTAAGTGCATATTGCTTACAGTTTACATGTGCTCTGTTAAAGAAACTGGGGGATTGACCTGGAACATGATGCACGCAGTCACTTACCTTGTCCTTTTTGCTTAACTCATTACATAGATTGATATTATATCTGATTTATGTGATGAATGCCCTATCAGCTTTATGTATTAGAGCTTTCTACATTCTTCCTAGTTCTTTTTGCTGTAATTGTCGGATGGGCTAAATACAGGTATTATTAAAAGTTTCTTTTGAGATACATTTTTCACAAATATTAGGGGGAATAACTGTTGCATTACATATATGTGCACTTTCATCATTACTGGCCAGAAGTTGACAGTCTTTGAGGTATTTTCAGTAGGAAGAATTTTTTAATCACCGAAACCTCACAATATTTTCAGAATGTACGGAATCCAACATAGTAGTGCTTTTCGTATATGTGAAGAGGATTGTACGTTTTCCAAATTTGCTTTATCATTCTTGGGTGTATAGTTTCTTAGCTGGGAAAAGACTTTGACGATAATAAGGTGTATAATGTGGTTTTATGTTCATTCGACTGATGAAAGAATCTGTGAGTTTGTGTAAAAGAAGAATGATAAAACCCAAGGTGTAAGGCATCCCTGTAATTTTGCTAAAATTGTGGAAATCAAATAACTTTCTCTTTTATGAGGGGGAATAATATCAGTACAGAAAAATCAGTCCGGGATTAATATCAGTACAGAAAAATCATTGCAAGACTGTATGTCATCATGGCTCACTCTATTAGATTGCACTAACAATTAATCCCTTAAATGTGTTTGCCACTCAAAAGAAAATCTTATCGTACTGAGCACCATAATGTGGGAAGCAAAAATTTGGCTTGGTTTGATCCTCTCTCTCATATAAAATGGTTATTTGATTTGCATGTCAGGAGGCTGCTTTGAGAGCTAGTAATCGGACGCTAAGCACCTGATCTGTAGCCATCTTGTTTTCTTGCCTCTCTCTTGGAGGCTAGCTCCAGGAACTGACTCTGGGCTTTGAAAGTGGCTATAAGGGCCTGTATATTATGTCTTGAGAGTTAACATCCCGATTACATTTTTTAATATTAGCTTAGCTATGCTTTGGTTAATGGTAAATGTCTCTTTTTGTTGAAGTTGTGTCCCTTGATTTATTCCTTTTTGGGTTTTGATTTCCTTATTCCTTCGTTATATATTTATTTGTGCTGGGTAATACACAGTTTATGCTGTTTTCGTTCTTGTTTGGTCTTTGTTTATGGTACTCGAAGTGCCTCTTGTTGATGAAAAGGCCATCATTAGACCACGTGGACAAGGCAATCTACTATTGAGCTCCACCTTTACAAAAGTAAGTTTTGATGGTGGTATTTTTCTCTTTTGATGTGTAGTCTCCTTTGCATACGGTCAACTCTATGATATGTATGAATATATGATAAAAATCCCTCAGCTGGTGCCGGGTTATGTGATTAAGATCGACCCGGATTTAGGTATTGTTACAATAGGGACTTTAATGGAGAATCATGATTCATGAAGCCAACTCTCAATTAATTGAAAAAAGGTTAAAATGATGACGAAGACAAGATAGACTTTTCTTGTCGAGAGAGAGAGATTAAATTTTGGGCAACTTTTCAAGGTGATTAGTAAGTCAAAATTGTGTGAGCAGTTATTTCAGACACGATTGGTAGGACAGATTGTTCACCTACAAACCTTTGTTGGATTGCTAGATCGGAGATCCAGATCGGGTATGGATATGTTGGAATTGGAAATGTAAAAAGTAATTAAAAAAGGAAATAAAAATAAAATAGAGGTTTATAGGGTGGGGATTTGAGGGGACCAAAGAAAATGTTATACAAGTTTAAAAAAAAGGAAAAAAATTATACAGGTAGATTAGGGGGATCTGGGTCAGGACTCATAGATTCGATTCGGACCCATTCGATTCCCATCCAAAACTGATGATCGGGATTAAAAATTGCTGGGTTTTAAAACTCACCGATAATAAGAATTGAGAATTTGGGCCAGCTCTCAAAGTTATGGGTCACTTTTGAAATCATTTGAAAGTTCCAACTGAGAATTGAGAATCTGGATTTCTCTTAGAAAGGAGGGAGAGTGAGATAATTGAGAACCTGGACTTCTCAAAGACAATACTCATGAGCATGAGAGAGAGAGTTGAGAATTTGGAACACTTTTCAATGACATTACTCATACCAGTGAGAAAGAGAGTCTCACGTATGTCAAGGTCCACACGTGCATCCCACCGACCTTGATGTTCCACCACCCACGAAGAAAGCAATGGCAACCGTCGCCCATCTCTCTCTGTGTCTGCCCACAATTGATGCTGTCTTCGTCCCTTTCAAAGCTTTTGCCGACAACCCACCCAACTTTCTCTCTCTACCATCATTGCAACACCCCTCTTTCATATTCCATGGACAAAAATACAAACTCTGATCCTTAAAATCCAATAAACAAATGCAACCACTTTGCCCAAGTTCAAAGAGGGGCCGCTATAATTGAAACCAAGGTTGAAAAACAGTAAAAAAAAAAAATTGTGACTTTTATTCCTCTTTGGACCCACTTTGTAAGATTTGCACAAAAGGTTTTTTGTCTGGTTACCTTTGGCACTGCATTCTAGAGAGAGAAAGCAAAGACCCAAGCAATTTAAAATGAGCACTTATACTATGTTCCCATTTGAGCATATTATGCATCTACTCCCTCGTAAACACAGTATTTTATTATAAAATTTTTGGAACCACATAAGAACTAATAGATAGTTCTTTTCAAAAGAGAAATTTTGAATTTTGAGGTTTTGACACTCAGTTCTAGCAATTTAAAAATTAGACAGTCTCGATTCAATCTTTAGGCTACTGTATGGAGAGTTTATTTTGAACTTTTTTTTTTGTTGAGATTAGTTTTTGGGTAATAGAAATTATATCCCCAAAAATTGATATCTGAAAGGCATTGCTAGCATGTTATATCCAAGGGAGTAAATGGATAGTATACTCCAGCAAGAGTCGGAAATCTTTTGGCATTTAAAATTAGAGAGATGGGAAAGAATTGTGGGATTGGAATCGTTGGATTCATGGGTGGGTGCGGTAGTTGCAGAAGACTAAGACATGCTGCTTGCTTGCCTTCCATATAGCAAACATGTTCAATCTCTTTTCTTCTTCTTCTCTCTACAACATTTTGTCATCTCTAGGAGAAAAAGAGAAAGGCTCACGGGCTATGGCTTAATCCGCGACATTTGCTCTCCAAAAGCTCCCATGCCTGAATATGGCACTTTTATCTCTTTCTGGAGAGGGGAGAGGGAGGGGGGGGGGGGGGGGGAAGAGACTGGTTAAACCCATGAGAGAGAGAGACAGAGAGAGATTGGACAAAAAATTTAAAAGTAACAGACATTTTCTGTTTGCTCCCCCTACCACTCTTCATATTTAGTATGTGCTTGATACTGCCTCTATAACTCAAATTTTTTTTTTTTTGGGAGTTAAATATTGAAAAAGTTAATATAAGGGTGTAGTGTGTGCTTGATACTCCCTCTATATATCTCAAACCTCTTTTTTTTTTTTGGGAGTTAAATATGGAAAAAGTTTATATAAGGGTGAGGTCCTAAACAATCAAATTACGGCGCACATCAAAAACTCACTAAAGGAGTTTGTTTTGATTATGAATAACCCTTATTTCGATCATCTCGACCATAGGATGCATGGACATGAGATCTGTTTCAGGTCTTGAAAATAGTGTCTTTAGACAATTAATTTTTAAGATTTTCAAGTGTTCATAGATCTGTTTGATCTATATTATTTTGTAATCTTTAAATTTTATAATTAGAAATGAATTTTCGGGCCATCACAAAGATTTCTGATATTGAAACGATATTTTCAGCAGTATTGAAGCTGTGCCTTACTTTGATTGTTTAGGGCCTTAGCCTTATACAAACCACGCCGGTTAAATGTTTATCTCAAATATGTACACTCCCCACTAATATATACACATATATACAACGTGCAATTCTTCATAAATGAGGAATGGGATTGTATACATTGAGATTGTTTATCTTCACACAAGGAGGTCATAATTATTCCTAGCTATTAAATGTCAAATTCAATGGCTTGGGGTGCATCATAAAGTTTGAGAATTTTTCTTCTGAAACTTTTGAGTCTAGTCGACAAGATGCTCACTACTACCAATTTGAAACATGAAGATCAAAAGTGACTTTGACCTCCTTGTGTTGAAAGAAAATAATCCCTTTGTATGCTTTTCTATAACATGATGTTGTCTCTCTCTCAATGTCTTTCAAATCCTCTTTCTATACTTTTCCAAACCAAAATATGGTCTCTCTGTGTGCTGTCTTTCGTAGCTTATTAATGTGTCTCTCTCTTGTATGATGCATGTCTGGACAGTCTTCAAATAGGGAGGAGCGATTTGCATTGGATCTGGTGTCGTGGACGTAGCTCCTTTAAAAATAAGGTATGGAACGAGGGTATTTTGGTCATTTTCCGTAGGGACAAAAAGAGGTCGCAAGGAAAAAAAGATAGCCCCAAGTTGAGTTTAGAGAGAGAGGGAGGGTGATGATGAGTGCAGGTTAGAAGGGGAGCAGGTGGTCCCTTCGGCCACCTCCGGACATGTCAAGACTTATGCCGTGTGCACCATCATCCAACCATGCTCATTGCACGTCACACCAACCCCCCTCCCTCTCTCTCTCTCTCTCTCTCTCTTATTCATTTGTTACGTGCGCCGCACGTGCACTTGTGTGTTGGTGAGACTGATATGTTGCGGGCCTTAGTTAGTGCCAGGAAAAATCGAACCAATACGGTTAATCTGAGATAGGGCCAGAACTGGTTCAACTGGCTTGATCGGGCAAGTCTCGGGCAATCAAAAAGTGTTAAAAAATACAAAAAAATAATAAAATATGAAAAATATATTTAGAATATGATTAAATAAAGCACATTTGTAAAAATGGATTTTAATTTGGATGTGGTTTGTATAGAGCTGAGGCTCTAAACAATCAAAGTAGAGCCCACCTTCAAATAGTGTCTAAAAATGTAGTTTTAATACTTTAAATCTTTGTGATAGCCTTAAAATATATTTTCATCACTAATTAATAAATTTTAAGCTTAAAAAATAGTGTAGATCGAGCAGACCTATGAAACTTGAAAATCTTGAAAATTGACCGTCTAAAATACATTACACAATATGCACGTTTTCCAAAACTTGAAATCCATTTTTTTGTTATGTCCATGAATCTTGATGTAAGGATCATCAATTTGAGGATGTTTGGGGATCAAAACAACCTCTTCTAGTAAAATTTTTTAGGTAGGGCCTAATTTGTTTGTTTAAAGCTTAGGCTCTATATAAACTTCTTCGGATTTGTGTCCAGGGGTATTTTTGAAAATTTTCAAAATATTGGGAAAAATGTAAAAATTAGTATTAATCGCTAAAACCATTTCTAATTTTTGCCAAAATGATAAAAAAACATTAAAAATACATTACAAATATTTTTTGAAATTTGATATAAATTTTTTTGATTTTTTTTAAACGACCCGGCTGATTCACCAAAACCGACCAAAACTGGAAAAAGCAAGTGGCTGGTTCCGATATAACCGGATAGTTAGAATTTGAACTGCCTGATTTTTTCCTAACTTAGTCTATGAATCCTCCTCTAACCTTAACAGCAACAGGCTGGGCATGGGTAGCCCTTATCCGCATAGGGCCAGCCCAGACCGATCGGCCCTGTTAAGGCCGGGACGGACGAAGCTTGGCAAAATAACAATTGACGAAAAAATAACAAAAAAGACAAAAAAAAAAAGGATGGCTGGGCCAAGGCAAACCAGGTCAGCACTGGCCTTAGCCCAGCCCTCGAGCCACAATTTGTGGCCCAAGTCCAGGACGACCGAGCCGATCCGTTGCCAGCCCTACCTATACATATCTTTTCTGTCAATAGTGTTGAACCCCGACACTACCATTTTAATCACAACAAACCCTCTCTCATTTAACATAAGCCACCAGGATGACACCTACCTGTCCCTCCTCATCCAACATTACTGATAATAATCCATAAATTTTCATCTCCCAGACGTGCATATACACACGAACACAAAGAACAATAGCCATTATAGTCCTCTCTCTCTTTCTCTCTCATCCAACATTACCAATTATAGTGAGTCCTACCAGACTATTTGTTCTCCCATCCATTATAGCCCCACAAAAACTTTATGGTGTGTCTCTGTGTTTCTCTCTAATCCAACATTTGCCATTATAGTCACACCAAACACTTTATGTGCGTCTCTTATGTGCTTTTTTTTCTTTACCTTTCCTGAAAAGTTTAATCTTCATTCTTTCTTATTCATCAGGTATTAGCACGAGCGTTGCACTATGGCCCATGATAAATAAGATGAAAGGTATATTTAATGTTTAATTTAGATAAAAAGTAAGTTTATTTTCTATTTTATTTAGTTTTTGAGAAATTTAGTATTATCTGTGATGGTATTTAACTTTTATGTGGTTATTATTTTATAAACAAGTATACAAAAATACCATTTATTATTAGTACAAGGAGGTCACATTCACTTTTCTCCTTCAGATTTTAAATCAGGTGGTGCTGAGTATATATCATTGAAAAAACTTTGTGCATATTCCAAGCTATCCAATTTGACATCTAATGGCTAGGAGTAATTGTAACATTTTTGTAAAAAAGATAAATAGTCTTATAATACACGTTCTCTTATTTTATTTCTTATATTGAGTTCTACTTTCTGGGTTCTAACTATTTAATATTAGCATTGTATACTATGAGACCATTTATCTTTGTTACAAAATGGCCAAAATTACTCCTAGCCATTAGATATCAAATTGGATGACTTGGGATATGTTATGAAGTTGAAGACTTTTTTTTTTGAACTTTTAGTTAAGGACACTTTTACAACCACCTAATTTGAAATCTGATGAAGAAGAGTGTTTGTAACCTCGTATCAAAAGTAAATGGTCATTATATACTTTTCCTTTATATTATACCAACTCTTTTATAGTTTTCTACATTAATATTTAAAGGAAAATCTTTATATAAAGTTACAACTGTAAAATGAAGAATTAAACTTGCATCTCAAAAATCCATCAAAAAATGTTGTTTTAATGTTGAAAAACCCTCTACTTGATCATCTCAACATTAAGAAGTATAAATATGAAAAGGAAAAATATCTCGAGTCCCCGAAATAGTGCACTTGCAATACATTATGCAAACCATCAATTTGCAAGATTTTTATATATTTATAGATCTACTTGATTTGAACTATTTTTGGAGTTTAAAATTTTATAATTAGAGTTGGAAATAGATTTTTAGACAATCGTAAAAAAAAATTTACACTAAAATTGTATCTTATAATAAAAATTTGGAGATGCGCCTTAATTGGATTGTTAAAGGTTGCAACCTTATGCAAACCACACCCATTTTTTAAATGGATATCACATTTGGGAAAATTATTGACATAGTTGTATGGTTGTTTAGATAGAGGTTCCTGCTTCGTGGAAACTCCTATTTTAACTTCATTGGGCTTGTTCAATTTCTTAGCATATAAAATCTTATTTTTAAATTTTTAAGTGTTGTTTAACGATTTATATATCTTTTTTCCAGCTATTCTAACTAGTTTACTTTTAGTAAACACTGGATTTGAATAACAAACGAAAGAGGTTTTTAAGGGAAGCTAGAAATAAAACTTTACCAATAGATCTGGATAACAAATGATATAAGATTTTAACCTAAGAGAAGTTTTAGTGGAATTGGAGGTTACTTAGTTATGGAAAGGAATTCAAGAACCACACTGTGCACACTATCTTAAAAATCACTAATCTGGATTGAAAAGTAATGGAGCCAATTCCCTTACGGAATTGGAATCATGATATTATATATAATGTTGCCTACTTTTGTCAAAGAACCTCGTAATCGGGATTGATGGATAGTCAAATCTAATCAATGATCTTATATGGTGCCTTTTGTATCCTTTATTTTTTTTTAACAAAACCTATTTTTTATGAAAAAAACCAAAATCAATGAGATTTTGAAAATTTTAGTTCAGATTTGTAGATTTCTAAGTTTTAGTCCATAATTTATCTAGAAGGATGTAGCTTCAATCTAAAACAGGTATTTCACAATTTCATACTGCAGGATTGAGGAGCACGATGTAGATCTCTTTTTACACACCGATTCAACTTCGATTGCGTTGGCAGGGCTTGAAGGCAAACACTCTGGTGAATATGAGCTCAATGAGCCCTGCTTAGATGAGGAGGTCATAGAGATGTGGAATTTATTGACCAGTTTAAGTAGACATGGCTGAGAATAGGGTGGTTGGAGGGACAATCGCAGCGCTTGAAGGCAAACACCCTGGTGATTATGGGCGCAATGAGCCCTGCTTAGATGAGGAGGTGGTAGAGATGTGGAATGTATTAACGAGGTTAAGCAGACATGGCCAAGAACAGGGTATCGATCATTATCTTAACTTCTTGGTGTGTTGCCGCCTTGGGTGGCTTATCCATCAGTTCTTGTCTCAAAAATAATTAAGGATACCACTCTATTGGAAGGTCGTCGGATAGAGTGGTGGAGGACGCGGGAGAGGAGGATGCGATTTAAGTTATCACCAGTAATGCCAACGCTTACACATCTTATAATGGGAGTATCGATCATGTCTGATGGTTGGAGGAACAAGACCATTCACAGTCATTTTCTTAAATTCTTGTGTATGTCCCTGGTGGGACAGTTTGCCACTTTAATTTAGATGTCTGAGGAATACTCAAGGATTCAACTCTATTGACATGTTTGTTGCATAGAGTGGTTGAGGAAATCAGGGAGGACTAGTGCATGGCAACATGCCAGGCTTGGCTAGGCTAGCGAGGCTTAGGGCTGGCCCAAGTCAAAGGGGCCCTTCCCTAGGTGCTGTATAGGCCAGGCCGAGCTCAAAGAAGAGAAACACAAATCTAGCATGGGTCATGTCACGACCATGGCCTAGCTTGGCCCACAGGCCATGGTGACCCGGCCCTTAGACGACATTTTGTAACCCAAGCCCTATGTTTTAGGGCTGGGCCACCCAGGGCATTGCCACCTTAGAGGTGACCTCATAATTCAAGTTTTGACTGATGATATTAAGGCTTACATATTTGCATGGAAGAAGTTGATGAGTAAGACGAGGCATTGGGAATGAACCATCTATTCACTATTCATGCAAATAGTCTTTATAGAATTTAATAGATAATTATGTTTTTATTAATTGTTGAAGATGCACATAATTAAAGTAGTTCAAGTGGAAGGTTCAAAAAGGTCAACAGGTATGCTCAGAAGGATATGGTTAAAAATAGTGAGAAAATAGTATAACTTTTAATAGAGCAGAATAGTAAATCAAGATTTGTGTCGCCAACCCTAATTAGTGAGAAAAAGACTTTGATGATGATTATGACATTCTCTTGTTGTTTGCAATATCTATGTTTCTTCTTCACCTCAAATATTATTATATAAAGCCAAATATTCCCGTCAAGGTCATGACTGAAGTGAAATACTACACAGTGAGATCCAAGAGAAGTAATTAAAACCAGACTGCAAGTCTTAATAGAAGTGAGAGTCAATTTTATATAAGGAAATTTTATTAACTTAGTGAAATGTTTGAAGTTTAATGATTATACCTTGATCTTTTCGTCGGCGTCCTATAGAGATGTGGTGGCACATTCTCAGCGGCCTTGTTTAGCTGCACGGTGACAATTGGAACAACAATGGTTTGGATGAGTATATGAGCTATCCAAACCATATGAGCTATCTCATTATTCATTGTGGTTCGAGATTTTATGTTTTGACCTATATAATAAAATATTAGATATTTGATAATTCGTGTAGATTTTCTTATGATTTAATTGCATTTTAGACTGTGCAATGAATGTGCTGGCACTTATACAAGAATTAGACTCTTTAAGCATTTAGATATTTTCGATAACATCACAAAAAAGAAGTAATATAAGGTCTATTTATGAATAAAGTGATGTAAATAATTTTCTATTTTTTTTGTGATTTATATTTTTTTCTCCCGCCTTTTTTTTTCTGTTTCTGGTAATTCAGTGGGGAAGACATGCCCCTATCTATCTTTTCACGTAGATAAAGAGTTTTTTTTTTTTTTTTATAAAGTGCTAGTGGGGTGGTCTTAATGGTGGGATTGGAAGCTAGTGGATTTTTTAAGATGTTAGTGGGGTGGTATTAGCGGTTGGATTGAAAATTAGTGGGGTGGTATTAGTGGTAGAAATGAAAACCACAATGCAGCGTTCAAGATCGGGGATGCTACCACCATGTCTCAACGCCTTTTCCAAATGGATAAATAATCAAAAGTTTGTTTTTGTGAGTCGTGGGTAGAGGGCCCTACCCTATAAGAATTGTGCTTAGGATGAAGTGTTGCAAACGTCAAAGCGTCTACCAATTAAGCGAGGGCTCTTTTCCTAAAGCGCATTTATGCATCTATCATTATGTCACGAACATTATAAACATTCTCAGTATAAACATTTTCCGGTACACGTAAACTTTTAGTCTAGTAAGGTTAGCTGGAACCCCTTTGTTTCTTTTATGGGGCTTTTTTTGGGATCATTGATTTAGTTAAAAAAAGAAGAAGAGAAAATCAGCAATATTTTACACTTTTTATGCTATGATTTTCTGCTTTTTAAATAACAATATGAATATACTATTAGGGGGCACAGACTGTATATAAGCTTTTGGTGTGAATATTGAATGTTTAGTTCCCCTTACATATCGGAATTCTTTTTATTTGGAGGGTGCCCCATATGAAGGAAACTCTCAAGTATTTGATTGGAGTTGCAGGCCCAACTGGGTTTGGATCAAGTTCCACTGCTGAGCAAGTCACTGAGAACTCTTCTTCTTCCTTAATCCAACCCCAATTAACTGCTATAATCACTGGTTTGTTCTCTCTCTCAAGAAAAAGCTTGTGATTTGACGGAGAAATGGATTGTTTTGCATTTTTTTTGTTTGATAACTAAAACAACGTGTTCTCGGGATAGGCTCATCTCCATAGGATTTTTCAGAGGAAATCAAGATTTTATTGTTTTTAATTCGATTATCAAATTGCAAATGATTGAAAACCCAAATTTTATGTTAGTTTTTTGTTGGGGTGGAGGGGGGGGGTTTGGGATCGTATCTATGTGGTCCTGCAATTGAGCAACTTTCTAATTGGTTTATTTCCATTTCTTTCTACAATATTTAATAAGAATTACTTTTGATTTTTTAATTCATTAAAAATAAGTGTCCTCTCTCTCTCTCTCTCTCTCTCTCTCTCTCACACACAAATAAAATTTTGTTCTTAAGTCATTGTTTTTCAGTTTATGGGCATCCATAGATTTCGTTTAGAGCTGGTTTTAAGTAAGTGATCAGATTTTATTTCATTCAGAAGCCTTTTAATTGTTTCTTCATTTTTGTGGAATTTTTATAGGAGCAACCTCCGGCATCGGAGCGGAAACAGCGAGAGTTTTGGCGAAAAGAGGAGTGAGAATTGTGATTCCAGCAAGGAATACAAAGAATGCCTCTGAGGTTAAGTCCAGAATTAAGAGTGAGAATCCAGAAGCTGAAATCATAGTGATGGAGCTTGACTTGAGCTCTTTTTCTTCAATTAGGAGATTTTGCAGTGAGTTTCTTGCTCTGGGGATTACTCTTAATATCCTCATGTAAGTCATCTCTCTCTCTCTCTCTCACTCTCTCAAATAATTTATGAGTTTTCAATCTATTCACTAGAAAGGTCATGGGATTTGAATTTTCAAATTTCTTTCTTGGATATCTATACTTATCACGAAGTTGGCCCTTGTAGAAACAATGCTGGGAAATTCTGTCAAAATTTGGAGCTTAATGAAGACAACTTTGAGATGACCTTTGCCACAAATTACCTGGGTACTCTCTCTCTCTCTCTCTCTCTCTCTCTCTCCTACGTACTACGTACGTACGTACGTCGTACGTACGGTCGGTACGGTCGGTCGTCGTCGTACGTACGTACGTACGTACGTAC